TTCGAAACCAATTTTCTGATACATTTCATATAAAAAAATAAAATTAATAGATCACTCATTACGAAACAAGTAGTCATCGATTTTATTCGAAAATCAAACGTTTGTTAATTCCAAGATATATATTTTTAATGTTTTTGAACCAAACCAATTTATCTTGGGTTTAAAATTTATTATATGAAAGCTGATTTTTAGGGTTTAATTTGAAATCTAAAGGTTTTAGAATCTAAACCGAACTAAATTAACTTTATCATTCCCTACAGATATACAAAAAAAACCAGATTTTTGTCCAAACCACTATTTTAAACAAGTACAATTCGTTTCAATAAACAAATTTTGTAATGAATCGTATTGTTCTTTTAAATTTTCGTATTCTTCTTTTAATTTCCTGAATTTTTCTTCAAGAGTTAATACGTTTGTTATTATAGAATCATCTGGGTTGTATTCCTTAAATGCATCACGGATTTTGATAAGACGATCATAAGTAATAGCGCAGATTGGGCAAGAAATCGGAAAAGGGTGTGGCACCACTGGAGATACTGATGATGACGATAATGAAGAGGGAGGAAACATGGTGGCCGTAAGGTTAACAACTTTTTGTGAAGGTAAAATTAGAGATGATACGTCAGGTATCGGAGCGGGAACAGGGTTGGTGATAGCATCAGGAGAAGACGCAGAGGAAGCAACAGTGGAAGAAGCCTTAGCTAGGAATGGCAGATGATTTAAAACAGAATGTTTTAATCAATTTTAACATTTTACTAAATCAAGTTAAAAAAAAAATATAAAAAACGTTTTTACCATTTCTAGCCTCAGCAGCATCAACAACATGAAAAGCACGGTTACGAAGCCTTATTAGAGCAAAATAGGACTTGGCTGAAGCAATTATCGCATCATCAAAATCCTTAAACAATTGACATAGGTCAGCCGGATCAGAGGAAGGGACAGCCATGTTTAACCTTATAACAAAATATATAAACGGAAATATTAGTAACAATATTAAAAATAACTATCAAAAAAATTACATATTTATATTTCATTAGTAAAAGAACCAAATAAAAAGTGGTGTTCCGACAAGAAAAAATTATTAGACCCATCTCGGCGACTAATAAGATTTCCTTATTCAAAACCCAAAGCCGAAATAGCATAGCTTTGAGTTTTGTTTGTATCTGGTCCTTTTACGAGCCGGCGTTTAATATAATCATAAAAAAATATGAAAAAAAATACATGATGATACAGTAACAACCTTATGTCCGTATGTTAAAAATGGTATAAAAAGGATAGAAGATTTAAAGGATAGAAAGATTTTAACAACCTAAATCACGTCGTGTTCTCTATCCATTTATATTTAAATCGTTGGATTCTCGTGAGGGTGACGCTTTAGATTAACATGTATAAATAAACTCCTAATTGAGTATCGCCATTTACGTATTATTTTGCGATAAAAAACAATTTATGATCAAGAAAATCAATTGCCCGGGTAACTTATTTATATACTTTAAAGTACGTTTTCGTTAATAAAAATAATACATGTGCGCAGTGTTATTTGTTATTTATTAATTATGTTAGAGAAATGATTTTCGTACATCAGTTTCGTGTAACATCACGTACATCAATTTTATTTTGACCAATAAAAATAAAATAAAATGATCAGCATCTAAAAAATCAAAAAAATAATGCGATTTTATTGGTTAAAAAAAAATTGATGTACGTGATGTTACACGAAACCGATGTACGAAAATCATTCCTCATTATGTTATTATGCGTCTACAATAAAGGTTAAAAATATAATATATGTTAAAAAGTATAAAAATATTTTTATATTGAGATACTTTACTATACCATATTTGAGGCCGTCAAAGAAAAACCTGTCATCGGGCTTTCAATGTCCAGTTTGTTTACTGAATGCCGTTTATGGAAATCTATCATCGGTCTTTTAATTATATTTTGTGACAACCTGCCAAGGTAGGTAGATAAGTCATGTCACAAAAAATCGGCAGTAACGTGATATACAAGCCACTCTGCTATTATTATAATCTGGGATCCAAAGATCCCATCTGAATGGCTTGTAAATGACGTCACTGCCGTTTTTTTTGTGACATTGCCACAAAATAGAACTGATGGATTTTTCTTTGACGGCACTCATTTGGTATAATAAACACGTCTGAAATCTGTGACAGGTTATGTTGATCATTGTTGACTGTAATCAAGATCAGGTGTAACTTAAAAAATTCGAAAAAAACCCAGAAAAATCGTAAATAACTCAATACTTTACTATGATAATCATAAAAGTTTTCAGCACGAAATTTTAGTTCTATAAGTATATTTAAATATTGAATATTCAGCCTGCGCTAAATTTTGATGATCGACATAATCTGTCAGATTTCGGACGTGCGAATCCAACACAAAATCTGCTTCTTGATAATATTTGATTATTGGAGAGAGTTCTGTCAATATCAGATTTGTTTCTAGAATAATGCTCAGGTGATGCCATGTGCACACATGAAATCGGCGATCATTGCTAATTGTAACAAGATTATATCGATATGTAATATACCTGTGTCAGATTCGTTTGACACGAGTCAAGTTTGTTTGTTTGTTTGTACTAAAACGATTTTTATATTGTTTAGAATAGAGCCTTAATCTATAACCTTAAAGACTTATTTTGATTGGTTATCAACCAATCAAATCAATATCGTATGATTATCAAGTTCCTTGAAATAACTTAAAGAAACTTTGCACGATGGCAATAATCAAGTGATTGTACATGTGAGTTGTGTAAAGTTCGAGGCGGCCATTTATGGTATGCAATGCCAGCATGCAGGTGGGTCACCTGGGTCACGCGGGTTGTAAAAAATTCTTCGACGGGTCACCCGAATGGTAAAAAAAAATTCTGGGTACACATGTATGTATTAATCATATGTCACCCGATGGAAATCAGAAGATATCACTTTTGACATTTCTCAATCTAAATACTTAAAGTAAGCTATTCAATATTTACCTTTAATCTTATTTTATCTAGGCATTTAAAACAAGAAGTATATGTACATTCTAATTGAAATAAGATTAATTGGCACAAAATGTGCTGAATGTGTACTAGAGTTGGTTACCGAAATCTTTTTGGCCAAATCAGAAAGTTTCGGGTTTCGGATTATAGTTTTCGAAACCTCATCTGAAATCTCGAAACCTTATCCGAAACCCGAAACTTTACTCAAAATCCCGAAACTCTATTGGTATAATTAATTTCTATAAAATAAAAGAGCTTTGAACAACAAAAGTTTTAAATAAATAAATAAAGAGGCTTTGAGGCTTTTTTGTAAATAATTCTATTATAAAAATAACTAATTTAGTCATGTTTTATATATTACAATTATTATCTAATACATGTTTTAAATATTATCTAAATTATATTATTATTACAAAAAATGATATAAAAATTTTATTTGTAATTATAATTTGATCTTTACTTTTTTATTTAATTATTTATAAAATTTAATTCTCTTTTTATAATTTAGATATACTAAGTAAATGAAGATTTTAAATTTTTTTTTCATTATATTATTAACAATTTTATTACAATTATTATTTTTAATAATAAATATTTAAGGTCCCATAGCTTAGTGGTTAAGCTCCCATGCCCCCACAGTCAAGGTCAACAGTTCAAGTCCGGCTGGAGACAAAATTAAA